AAGACTAGTGGACATTCGAAGAGCAAATGATTAATCTGTCTCTTATGGTGACCCACATCGTGGACTATGTCTTAACCCATATGTAACCACTACTTCTAAAAGCAACAAAATTTTTATTTTTCTTTTCATTGAATCATACAACAAATCCATATCCACACTTGTCTGGCAATAGAATCAAACCTTAACATATACATAATCGATAACTTTGGTTTTGTGGCATCATAATGGAGAACTTATTATACGATAGGGAGCAAGCCAGGCTTATTCATATAATTTGTGGGAATTCATCAGTTCTTGAAAGAATCGTAAGTCGGGTTAGCATTGGCGATGGTGGAGGAGGACCTGAGCTTCATCTTTGCCCTTTTGATGTAATCAGAGAACTGATCTGATGATCTCCCACTGCTAGTGCTATTCTCTCTCGACACACGAGAGATAGGAACATGGTGGTGGTGATGATGACGATCACGTGTCTCTGTTTCGCTTGTCGCGGACGCATCGTCCTTCGTCATATCACCTAGATTCGTCATTGCCCTTATCTTCAGCTTCGCTTTCTTTATATAATCGGTGAACCTCTCGTCCGTCTTCATCCTCGTCTCCACTCGAGCGATCAACGTCTTCTTCGGTTCCATCTTTGTCTCTGAGAATTTGACGTGAACAGCCTCTGCTGGGTGGTTCGGTGAAGGTTTGGTGGAGATGCGGCGAGCGGTTCGGACAGGACTCGTTACTGCTCTGAAGATCTTCTCACACACTCTCTTTTCTTTCTTCTTCTCCTCGTTCTTTGCCATTCGAAGTGATCTGTGCAGAGAAGATAGTGACATTAAGGAGGTTTTTATAATGCAGAATCTGTGATTTTAAAAGCATTATCTTTCTTGATTGTAGAATAACGTGTTTCGAAAGGGAACATCATGCAGCTGCAAATGAAGGGAGAAATTTCTTATTCTCATTGTTGAAAAGAGGAAAGATGGAAACTTTAACAAGTTTTTCAAAAAAGGAATCGTATTCTGATTCCACTCTGTTTCTTTCTTCTTCATTGGTTTTTTTTCCTGTAAAAAACCAATGAGAATCAGCACTTTGTCCTTTTCTCAGGAGGAAATTTTTGGTTGGTAACGCACTAATCTTCGATTAAATACAGTATAGATTCTCAAATTAGGTCACTTTCCACTAGCTTTTTGCTAATTAAGTTATTCCCATCCACGGATATGCTTTCTTATTATTCTTCCCCTGCAATTAGCATAATTTGTTTTCTATGGCTGCCAAAAATCTATACTAATTCGACTAATATCTTATCAATTATCCAAACAGAAAGAAACTATATACTAATCACACGTTTTCAATGGAAGTGAATATAATAATAATCTTCATTCGTTTCTAGATACAGATTTGTTTAATCACATATTCACCAACTTTTAACTCTATACCCTCTAATCACTGGTTCTTACGGCATATAATGTAAAAGAAGTCACAGAAAGAACATATACAATTCCAAGTTTTTTAACATGACTGTGATACGAAAGCTTTGGTATTAAAATGTCGATATTTCAAAACTGTTGCCGGAAGCATTGAGTTTTTTTCATGCGGTGTGCAATATGGAGGTAATGCTAACTATACATCGCATTAGAGCATGATCGAATATGAAAAAGAAAAATAACGGATTTAGTTATCCGTTAGCAAGTAAGGCTTGTCTACGGAAAACATTGTCAAATTCACTTCTTTTGATGTATTTTTCTCACTATATGGCACATATATATATCAGCTTGCATTATGAAAGTTCTGTGTGTTGACTTTGTAAACTCGATATAAAATCAATAGAATGTTTAGCCCCGGAAAAAAAAAGAAAAGGAAAGGCGTTTAGAGGAAGTTTGGTATTGATTGTGGGGGTTAACGATTGTTGTAAAATGTAGCATGTTAATGTCCATATGTTTTCTAGTCTGCTTTACTGTGGAAATCGTTCGTTTGCATTTCTCACATATGTTGAAAGGAACTTATCATCTTTTATTACTTAGCATTAGAGAAGAAATAGGCATACGGTCAGGGAAGGGGCGGGTAGTGCAGCCTAGAGTGGACCATAAGCGGAAACTGCGTCTGGAAATATGGCGGGGACTGTGGTGGAGGTGGCCGGAACATACCAGCAGTGTATGGTGGTGGTTGGCTTGCTCCAAAATAGGGAGGAGGGTATGGTATGGGTGATGCGAAGCCAGGCATTGCTCGAGGAGGAGGATACACCATTGGAGGGGAAACGGCTGTTGCGTTTTCAGCCCATGCTCCTCGACAAGGCTGGACCTTTGTCTTACTGCTTCGCTTCCCAAAACACCTTAGAAGGCAACACTTTGTTGGAC